GTGCGTGTGTGTGTGTGTGTGTGTGTGTGTGTGTGTGTGTGTGCGCGTGTGTGCGCGTGTGTGTGTTTGTGCGTGTGTGGTAGAGCTGATGTACAGAGTTCAGCATTAGCCCTTAGAACCAATTTCTAGGCAAATTGGTTTCGTTTAATAATGAAATCACAGAGTAAGCACCCTCTTTCAGGGCAAGTTCATGCATCCGTTGCTGGTGTGATTTCCGTGTGACATGCATTGCCTGGCACTGGCTTGCTGTTTTTGGATTCACAATATGCATTCGCCATGTGCAGCCATGCTCGAAATGCATCTTGTTTACCTGTAAGGAAGTCAGAGGAATAGGAGCCACTTCCTTCTTTTTGTTCCTTGACAAAACAATGTCAGCAGCAATTCACAATGTCGCTCGATATTTTCCTCGCAGTTGTGTGGTAAAATCGGTGCTAATCAGAGCCACGTGCAAATAATTGCCCTCCACACGTGCTTACACATTACTCAATCAGGCCTGTTAGGAACATCTGTTGGTGTGAACGTCACCACTTTGTTCTAAAAAAGGCAGCGTTACCGAAACTCAATGTGCAAATCGACACCCAAGTCTGAAGTAAGAATATGCATTCCATTTTACTACCAAGGGTTTTACTTTGACCAACTGAGAATACGCTATATAGTGCGTCTGCAAACCTAGCATATATACGGTATACTCACCGCCTGCCCAATGGCTGGATATGTGTGTCCCTGTTACATGACAACGAATTATTAGGAACCTCGACATTGTATCATATTATTGGGTGGAAAAAAAAAAAGTATCAGCGCCAACGGACTTTTCGAGGGCCTCTTAGTTGAGGTGCCGATCACAAACAGGGCAGATATGAGTTTGATATTTTTGTATTTGATCCCGTGTGCCACGTAATTTGCGTTGCTTGGAAATCTGGTCAACTCTCACTCAGTTTGCAACGTCTCCTAAGCATTCAGATATGCGCACGGTATCCTGATGAAATGACTTGTATTGGATTGAAAGTGAAGTAACGAAAACACATGCTCCTTCAAAGCAACCTGTAGATGAATCGTATACACATCACTGGCAAGGATCAGCATAACTTCCGGATCCACTAATTAATTTCACATTTAAAATGTGACATCATTTCCAAATGGGTTCACATGTCCCAGAAAACCTCCACAAGTGTGCAAGTATGGGATGTAAGAAATTGACTGTAGCAACGGGAGAATATGTCCCTTGAATGAGTGTGCATGGCTCCCTTCTATCAAGGAATCTGATTCCGAAAGCTTCTGCTCTTTGACGGAGGTCTCATATATTGCATACGGCAAAATAATTCTGCTGGTGAAGTAATCCCCCTTTAAAAAAAACACTTGCGTGGAAATTAAGCCTCAGCTAAGTGGACCATTCCAAAATATATCACATATTGCATGAGGATGTGCAGTGAAGAGAAGCAAATTGGACTGCCATGTTTCAGCAGGGCGGTTGTGACAGATCAACGCTATGACCGAGCTTAGCTGTTAGCTTCACAGTTGTAAAAGAAAAAAAAACCCAACCAAACAAAAAATGCTGCATGAATGGAATGCTTTAATTCTTGTCGACACCTCAGTGAACTCTTTCTGCTGCAAAAAAAAAACAAACAACCAAAACAGGATAACTCATCCGTCATTGTCATATTTGGTTTTGCTACTTTACTATGTTGTCATCTTTCCTTTGCTGATTCAAGGCTAATAAAATCAACTGATTTATGAATTAATCACTCAATCAATAAAAGAACTCTTGGAACCATATGGGCAGCTCGATGGAGCAGTGGTTAGAACTGTTGCAGGCTTGAATCAATCTTCCTATGCAGATGTAAATGCTGAATAGCTGCTTCCGGACTCAGACTCAGTTTCTTCTTCAGCATTAGTTGAAGATGCCGAAGGTTTGGGGTCACTTTCAACTCAAAAACAACAAAAACAAGTTTTAAATTATAGGAGCAAAGCGTAACTCCGGTTGCTTGGAGACGAGAACGCATACGCGCGCCTGTGAGACACCGGCCGGCCAGCACATGCTACTGTCGGCAAGGTTTTCTTGCGTTTTCTTTCTACTCATTATCTCAGGTAATAGAACTGACTATTGCTACTTAGAACACACTCTATGTTGTTTGTAGTCCCCACAACGCAATATATTCATTTTGCAAACGACGCCTCTCACAAACTGCAGTTTACGTTCTGGTGCTTTTTTAAGTAAAAAAGCCTCGTCCCAGTACGTCCAATGACTACTGTACGGGACTAAAATATCTCCCACTAAATCATTGTGCCCTGTTAAACTTGTCTCTCCAACTAACTTAGCTTAGTGGCCTGATTTTTGTGAGAAATATGACCAGAACAAAATTAAATAAAGAGCAGGCCAGCGTGACAGTCGTGGCTGGATCCTTATTAAGAAAGATTAAGAAAAGTATGTTATTTACCTTGGAGTATAGTGGTAGTACACCTTAGGGAAACTCAAGTGGTATTTGTACAAGTTTGCTTTCTTGAAAAGATTCCTTCATGCAGCCCGGTGGTCCAATGGTTAGTGCGTCGACCTCACAGTGCAGAGGTACCGGGTTCAATTCCAGCTCCGGCATCCCTGTGTGGAGTTTGCACCTTCTCCCTGGGCCTGCGTGGGTTTTCTCCGGGTACTCCCGTTTCCTCCCACATTCCAAAAACATGAATGGCAGGCTGAATGAGCACTCTAAATTTTCCCTAGGTGTGGGTGTGAGCGTGCATGGATGTTTGTCTCTGTGTGCCCTGCGATTGGCTGGCAACACGTTCAGGGTGTCCCCCGCCTATTGCCCGGAGACGGCTGGGATAGGCTCCAGCACCCCTCGCGACCCTTGTGAGAATTGAACGGATCAGAAAATGGATGGATTCATGGAGATTCCTTCGTGACAGCCCAACACGTATCACACATGCAGCAAAGAGAACAAAAATAATTGAAAAACAACAACAAAAACTTACATACAATTACTAACGATGAGTTCGCCTTGTTGATGGCCCCAAAGGCACATAACGTCTCCCTCTAATTGTGGGCGCATCCATTCGGAGTGCACACCACTGACATCTGGTCCCCATGTCACAAGGAATGTCTGTCAAGAGAGATTAAACGTCACATGAATCGAGGCCGATAATGAGCACCAGGGATGGGCTCTTTTTTTTTTTTTTTTTTTTTAACACCCCCTTGTGTGCAACATATGACACAGGCTCAGCTCATTAAGCAGCTGCCATAATGCAATCATCGGGAGCACAGAGGAGTTTGGTTTTCAAACAAACTTTGAAAGTACAACATTTAATGCTTCAGAACGTGCGCACCACAGCAAGCAATATATTTCACACACCTCTGCATGAGTTCCACTTGCAAAGTACACATCCTTTCATTCTTATATATGTTCATTTTATGTGTTTCTGTGAGGGCAACATGTGAGAACATGAATTTATCTAACAGATTTGTTATCATAATGGGAAGAACAGCGGTAACCTGAGCATCACGGTGCCTGCATAAGCTTTGTCTGCATACACAAACCCCAGCAGCGATGCACTCAAAAAAATAGTGGTCATACTGAGCTGAAAATGCCACAAAAACATTATTTTTGCCATAATGTCACATCTTCAAAGGAGCATTGCGGCCACACTGAAATTTTTTTTTTTGCCATGTTACAAGACAAAAGTCAGAAGATTACACGAAATAGTCATATATTTTTTGAGGATAAAAAGGCATAATCTTCATACTTTTTAATTCAGAAGAAACGTTGAAATTTTAAAATCAAAATGAACATTTGCCAGCATTAAGACGATCTTGTGAAGTTTTAGTTCCCAAAGTTTGCTTTTCACAAATGAGCTACACATCAAACAGGTACTTAAGATTCGTAGCTCATTAATATGAGGCAAGCGTCTACTGTCACATCTGACAGTAGTCGCTCAATCTGGAAATTTTAACAGGAACTATTTCACACAAAAACTCATCTTTTTATCTTTTTTTTTGTTTTTAATATTAAGACTTTATTCTTGAAACCGGAGTACCCGGAGAAAACCCACGTAGGCACGGGGAGAACATGCAAACTCCACACAGGAAGGTTCTAGCCGCAATCGAACCCTGCATCTCTACCATGTGAGGCCGACGTGCTAACCAGTCGACCCCCAGGCCGCCAGCTTTACATTTTTCTCAAAATTGTAACTTTTTTGTCAGCGTGGCCCATTTGCTCCTTGTTCTTTTGAATGATTTTTTTTCAAATTAAAAAAAGTGCATGTATAAAAGGTTACATCCATGTAAGAGTGTAAATTCATTGCTCGAAACAGAATCGCGCTGTTTCCTCATTAATTCCCTCCCACCCCCAAGAAAATGTGCAATCAGCCTCATTGCGTGGCTCCTGATTGTTTTCCCCCTGTAAATCAATCCACAAATTGCAATTAAAATGTTCTCTTATGTGGTATAATGAACGCCTTCCTAATCCTTTACTTAAACACCTGCTGGTGGGGCTGAATTTTTAATGCATTTCTAATTCCTGCTCTTTACACCTTTGATTTACGTGTGAGCAAATTATATTGCTGTTTTGAGGCGTGCTGGTAGAAAAGTCCTACTTGGGTTGATGTGAAGTTTGCCAACTAGTGTCTTTAAAATGAAAGAAAGATCATAACAATAATCAGAATATTTTAGAAATACTGAATTGTTGTGTCTCTTCACACCTAAATTGTGACACGTAAATCTCAGCTTTCTTCAGGCAGTAGGCGGTGTACACTTGGAACCGGAACACACACACACACACACACACACACACACACACACACACACACACACACACAGCGGGCCATAATACTTCAGACCTCCGCAGTTAAGGAGTTTAGCTGAACTCGACCTTTTTTCCTCCGTCTAATGCATTTCCTCTTGTATATTTTTTTCTCCCCCCCCAGGCTGATTCATCTTCATTATTAGGCGGCAATTAGGAATGCATGAATCACTGAGAGCAGCTCAGTGACACGTTTCACCACAACAACACCGATTGGAGAAGCATTCTTTTATTCCGAATAAAATATGACTTCATTTTCAACAGTTTATCGAATTCCATCAGAGTTCTGTAAAATGTAACAAAACACATTTTGTTGCATCATGATTGCAAGAAAGACTTCAAATATAATTTCTCTTGCAAGGCCTTTTTACACCATTGCCGTTTTGGAGACACGATTACATTTCAATCAAGTGATGGGCTCCCTCTCCAACAACTTTGGTTTTGGTACAAGAGGAAAAAAAAAAAAAAACCTCACTATGAACATTTAAGAATCTTTAATTCACACTAGTAATAAAATTGCATTACATTTCATAAAATAAATGTTCCAGTTTATATATACAGAGAAAACAGACTGTACATACCCTCCAATTAACCATTTCTAAAAGAAAACAAACCGGGAACCGGTTTCACAAAACATACAAGCAATGTCGTGCTCAGCTAAGCAGGCACAACTGTACATCAACATTTGTAACTGCTCAGTGTTGGGGTGAGGGAGGGGCAAAAAGTTGAACATTTACAATAGAGTCCTCAGGAACTAATAAAGGGGTCTTAAAAAGTATTGCAGGCAAGCAGACAGACGCTTGTCTTTTTCCAAGTGCAGCAGAACATCCATGGTGTTGTGGAACTCGTGGAGCTGATTGTCGCTGCCACGGTACAAAGCTCCCCACTATTGGACCTGCGACTCGAAGCTCCCGTTCAGCTGACCCTCCTCATAGTCCATTTGACACAAAATCATGTTGTTTTTAAGGAAAAACTTGTCGCCCACGCAAAACCTGTCGAAAGAGATAAATGCCAGATGATTAGTGACTAGGACGTGACTAAGTGATGCGTCTGTGTGTCGAAATGTTCCCTTCCCAAAAAAAAAAAAAAATTATCTTTGAATAATTGTGGCTGGCTTGGAATGAGATAATTTCATCATCATACCAAAAGTGAAAAATCGGCCAACCCGCCTCCCTCCACTCCTCAAATGCAAACCTCCAAGCACAAAACCAGGGGGTACCGAGCCTTATCTGTCTCCCCTCCTGCCCTTTAAAACTCGCTACCTCAACACATCCGCAAGTGTGCTGACCTCCCATCCTTCAAATCATTTCTCAAAACTCACCTGTTTTCCGCAACCATATTCGCGACTCATTTCTTGCTTTGTTTTTTTCTTGACATTTGTTTGTTTAAAAACTTGTGTCTATTAAGCTTTAAACTGAACCGTTTCTCTTAATTCTTGTTGTAAAGTGTCTTTGAGTACTATGAAAAGAGCTTTCAAATAAAATGTATTATTATAATCATTATTAGCAACCTAACAGGAATTTAATATTGGCGGACCAGAGGCCAGAAACTCATCTGAAGTTCATCTTGCAAGTCCTAAGTGGGACTTCTGCCCCTACGCAGAAGTGGGAATCTTGGAATCTCTTAACAGACGTTGTGTTTGCCTGGTTTATGCAAAATCTGGATGGCTGTTGGATATTGTTATATAGCTTATACTGTTTGACAAACTTGATATTTCAGTGGTTCTCAGTCTTACCAAAATAATGATCACCATTAAAACTTCAAAACAACTGAATTGCATTTAGCACACTTGCCGTATTTTTTGCACTATAAGGCGATTCGGAGTATAAGGCGCACCTTCAACGAATGGCCTATTTCAAAACTGTTTTCACATATAGGGTGCGCCGCATTATAAGGCGCATAGAATACAAGAGACAATAGTGGCTGCATCCACTCGATGGAGCTTCACTAAAGGGAATACAAAACAGCTTTATTTACTGCTTATAGAGCTTTCACAACCGCTTCAATTGTAACAAAGTGCTTTCCAGAAAATTTAAAACACTCCATCCAAGAAATCATAATATTGATCCATAAATAAGGCGCACCAGATTATAAGGCGCACTGTCGGCTTTTGAGAAAATTTGATATTTTTAGGTGCGCCTCATAGTCCAGAAAATACGGTACTGTATTGTTGGATAAAAAAAAAAAAAACAAAACAAAACGTTCAAACCACTGAAACTTTCTCAAGTGTTGGAAGATTTAATTCAGTGATTCTTTCCTACAGCACTTTGAGAAATCTGCCTTATATGACAACTAGACTGGAACTAGTTCATGGTACAAACATTCACATGATTCATTAATGCTGTGAAAGACCAGAGTGTCATTAATTGAATTAACTTTGTAACTCAGGGTGCCAGATTCACAAGAATTTAACTGTACATGACAAGAACTGACACCACCTTAATGATTACACCATGTCTGAACAGAATAACACATTAAAAAGCCTTGCCAACAGGCAAGGGTGATAATTGTGACTAGAGCTAAGCATGCTGGGAAATGCCTCCTACTTTGATTCCCTCACACGTCACTGTATTGCTCTTAATGACGTGATGTGAAGCGCCGATGACGCTGATGAAACTACAAATCCCATAATCCCACATCTGTTACATATTTGGTCACACGTATCCGCGTTAGCGGTTGTTCTCCATGATGGAAATGAAGAAAACATCCCATCGGTTTCCGTGATAAATGGCCATCCTGACAAACAACAAACGTTCCCCCAAATATAAATACTGTAAACACGTTGCCAAGAAAAGTATCCAGCTCTGACAAAATGGCATCAAAGCAAATTAGAATTAGAACTTTCAATGAAAAGCACATGAATGGTAATACCTGGAATGTTATTTTGACAAGTATTTTTATGAATAGCAACATATTTTAATGTATTTTAAGTTTAAGATTTATTTTGAAATATAAACATTTAATTTTCGTATGTCCCAAAAAATGTATAAATATATAATCCTGATAGGCCCACAACCTAAAGTATGCTTTGGCTCGTGATATCTCCAATGCCAACCTGAATCCCCTACCAAGTCAAATTCAAACTGGTATCAGCAATACGAATTCACTTATAATATGCCTAGTTATTATATATACATATATAGAGCTTGTTATGATGTGAGTTGAGTCACCTGCCCCTACAGAGTACTTATATCTCACGTTTGCGCGTGCCAGTCAAAGCAAAAAGTCAGCCGAATTCCAGCTCGTATCTTGAAAAACTCCTAAATCGTATCTCAAGGCACCGCCGTATCTGTTTATGTGACTTCATTAGGTCAAGAAGAGCAAAACTATAGCGGAACACCGGTTGGCTTTGGTTACGTGCCATGCTGTTGAGACTGTCATTACTGTGCCAGGTGACACTGTATTTTCCAAGTGAGAGGAGAGAGAGAGAGAGTACGGTCATAATTCCCTTACAGCAGGTGTTCACTATGGTAACTGAATGTGGCCCGCACAAGGTTAATGGGTTTGTGCTGTGCGGAAGAACAGGGTCACAGCACCCCTGACAAGCATGCAAAGGACATTCTGCTCCCAGACTGGCGCCATTACCAACAGTATTCTAATGGGGGAAAAAGCAGTATTAGGATATGTCATATTCTTTGTAAAGGCTTTGTGTTCACCCCAATTTGATTCTTGTTTCCCGACTAAGAAAAGAGCCTTTCACACCTGGGCCCGTGCAGGCAGCGACAACGGCTGCCTCTGAAGAGTTAATGTTGCTGCGCCCTTGCAATTAGATTCACAGATCGAGCTGCAAACTGCTGCCAGTGTGTGACAAGAAAAATAATTAGCAGACCATTACAAACACAATGCGGTAACCTTTATTTTTACAACAGAATTTCACTCTGGCTTCTGCCGGTGCGGCCTGCGCGCTCGTCAAACCAGACAGTCAACTGGGTTGCGCATGAAGGGAGAAGCTATTTCTGCATCTTCTGAGGTTGAAAAGCGATCAGCCGTCTTAAAGCTTTTTCTTTTTTTTTAATGCCTATTGCTTACCTCTGGTTACAAAGCTGACAGGCAAAACAGTCCAAATGGTAAACATTATCTCTGGCTCTCATCACCATCTCAAAGGCTGGGATCAGTTTACTGCAGGCTGCGCAGTTTCCCGTCGTACCAAAGAGCCTGCAAGACAGAGAGCACAGACACAGATTAACCTAGCTTCCCTTTACCTTGATGAAATATAAGAGCAGAGAAAATATGCTGACAGCGAGCGTGACAAAAAGAGAACTTGGAAAGATGTGGGGGGGGGGGGATGAATGGCAATATGCTGCATGAAATCCACAAATCTTTCCTGGCGCCTGCTCGGTGTTGGAGTTAATGAGAGAAACAAACATAGATCTTAATTCTCGCCTAATGATCTAATTAAAATGATCACATGGCTTTAATCGCCTTCAAAGCATACAGTATATCCCTTGCACAATGCATAAACAACAAAAACAAGTCTGAGGTAAATCATTTGGGCTGCTCAAATTGTTTTCCTTCTCCCAAATGAAAAAGAACTAATGTGTCGATCTGCAAAGCAAAGCCAGCTGGGTTTTGCGCAAATGTCTTTGTTGTATAATGAAGCTGCGAGTTCAAACATTTTTTTTTTTTTTTTACATGAATGGACACCCTTTTCTCACTTTTTATTTTTTTTCTCAGCCATAAACATGTTCTCTTTTTACACGGATTACTCCAAAAAAGGAGCAGATTCTGATTACAGTGCTTCTGACTTCAAGAATGTTCCTTTTGATAATCTTGTTTTCACATGACCAAATGGAACCAACCGCATGCACATGATGTCCCTTTTGTCATACGTTTCGCCCTCAAATATCCAAGTTCATTAAAACTCGCTGTATGTATTGCTTTGCTGCAAAATGATGCAAAAATGGTGAATTAAAAAAAACCCCAGTGTGTTCTTAATGCTTTTTCTTTGCTGTTAAGAAATTATAGTTTTATTCTTTTTAGTGTCTTAATCTGGTTATTACTGCAATTAGCTTACAAGCCACTTAAGTGACATTGACATTTTTTAAAATTTCATTAATGAATTTACTGCAAACCATTTTCACAGCACAGGGGTTTTAAAACACGATCTGAGTTTAAAAACACTTTTTTTGTCAGTTTTGTCATGTGTCCTTTTTCACATTGTGATTACTTGGTTTTTCGTCTCGACCTGTTCTCGTCAGCCCCGTTCCTGGTGTCAACCAATCAGGTCAATACCAAGCCACTTGAGTCCAGGTGTGCCTCATCTTTGTCACTTTTCTTGGATTTAATTTCTTGGTTTCCTTTCAGTCTTCATCAGGCCATTGTGTCTACTTTTTTATTTTATTTTAGAAGTTTAGTATTTTGATAATTGCATTAAAGTAAAATATTTTCTAGCTTCTCCATTTTTTATTAATCAGCGGTAGGACATGGGTAGGTTTCACCAGAAAACCCCGTTTCTGACCCAAAAAGCACAAGCTTTTTGTGAAAAGAAATATGTCAAGTGGAAGAGTGACTTTGATGCGCATAGTTTTTGATATTGTGATGCTTCAAATTATAAAACAAAAACAAGACTAAGAAAGTGCTTTCTATGGCAGAAAGTTTTATATAAAATGAGGAAACACAGCATGACGTCAGTGGCCTTTTTTCACATGGGGTTCGTCATTCATGTCATGTCATAAACTGGAATGTTATTTCACCATTGCGACACACATTTTCAACTGCCTACTGTGTCCGTATATACCATACATATACATGCTCAGTTCGAATGCAGGGTGCATAAACCTGTTTGACTACCGTTGTGTTGGCATTTCTCTCCCTCATAATCGATGTGAGATGCCCAGATTCAAACTTTAATCTACAGTCTACTCAATAGATACATTAATCTCAACTCCAAAGTTATGCAACACCCCCATCTACAGGGATCTGTTAGCCATTACAGTTCTTTCACAGACGTCAGTAGCACGAGACGTTTGGATTCCAACTGACGAATACCAACGTCCGCGTCAGTGAATGAGTTAAGTGTCTGCGTCATCTATTGAATTGATCTCAATGGTACAATGGTAGGCAATCAGCTCCAAGCATGCCCTGTTGGCCTTCACCTGTTCGACAAGTGTTTTTAGTGCTGCTCTTCAGTGTTGTTCATGCAGCAATATTGCTGTCATTTTCTTTTTACAGATGTGAATATGCTCTTTGTGCCTCAATCTTTTTGCTTCAAACATGCCCAAAATTAAAGTAATTGAGTGGAACAAGACCCTTTTCCTATATGCATTGCAGCTATCATGGGCCAAGCAAGATATAGAGAAGGCTATTTTAATGCTAAAAAGAAATAAGGCCACACATACTTTTCACTTGTCTGTCTGTATTCATGTTCAACCCTTTTAGGGACAGCGCTCACCACAGTGGACAGCCTATTTTTTATCAGGTTACAGGGTGCATGAACGGGTTCATGTGGAGTTTTATAAGTACTGATAGATTTATATAATCAATCGTCAAAATGACTGCTTTATAGCTTTTCAGGAGGCAATATTTAATCCACATAAAAGTATTCTCCCTAATTTTGTAGGGCCCACATTGAGGAGTCACAGTGTTAATGTTTTCCTTGTCTATGTTGCTCTCATTCCGCTGCGATCACCTTGTTAAAGCAAACATCCGGTCGGCAGCCTCGCTTCTAATTAGAGGCCACTGGCCCAGAGGAGTTGCAGGGAAGAAACAGGAGAGTGAAAGCGCTGTTATGTTCACCCAGAGGGATTCATAGGGTGTAAAGCAGAAATAGTGTGACAACAACTTGGTGTTACAGTCAATGGTTTACTATGCGGTGTACATGTGCGATCAACAGGAGATTCGAGATGGTTTTTTCCACTTCCTGTTTGCGACATTTTGGACACATGAGTGTAGATGTAGGAAGACACAATTAGAAGTATAGTGTACAGCGTTACGTTGAAGAGCATGCTGTGCCGCAACGTGCTGGGCAACTTGGAGCTTTACTGGATGCAGCATAATTAAGAGAAGAAGCAGAGAAGGTCCCCTACTAAGCAGAGAGTGTACATGACTATGAGTTTGGTTGAACATTTTGGCTTTGAAATCCACGATGTTGAATTCTCTTTTGTTGTGTGTGTGATGTGACTGAGTAGGTGTTTGAAAGTTTAGAATTACCTTTGCCTTCACGCTCATTTCTGTGAACCATTTAAGGTGTTCGACATTGTGTTGGAGCATTAAGCTAACAGACTTACGTTAATATGTAGTTTGGTTGAACATTTTTGTGTTTGGAGTATACATTTCATTCACTTTTGTTGTATGTGTCAGTTTTCATGATACTTTAACTCAACTTAAGAATCAAAACTCAAAACACTTACATCATCTGTCATCTTTCCCCACTGACATAAATGGAAATGCCATCCTTGTGCTTCATGTGGTGCACGTTGGACAAAGAAGAGTTTTTAGACTGTTTTGGTAAACTTGCAATGGTAGTATTTGTTTTGCACAGAGGATCAAGTGTATATGCCTGGAAGTATTGTTAGATTGTCTTTCGAAATGCGTTGCTTTTTGTCCAAATACTGTTGCTTCAAGGGTTATAACGCCATCACTATCAATGCTATTTCTTAGCCCATCTATGGCAACTTTTTGTATTGTGTGTTACTAATGGGCATTGTGTATGCAAAGTTGCGTTGTTTTAAATGTGCAACGGGTAATTCTCTTTGCTTTATGTTTTGTATTAAAGGAAACTCCAGCTGGTGGTGGCAATGAACAGCTTGAAGCCTTTTTTAGTCACTGTCTGCTCAGCTTCTGCTGCTTGTTGTGAGTTGAGTTTGCTGCCATCATCTCGCACATACATCTAATTTTTTTTTTTTTTTTTGCTCACAAGTCGATGCCAAAAATATATATATATTTTTTCTTATCTTGAAAACTGCACAAGTCAGGACACTTCCAAGTCCAGGCACCAGTGTTAACAACTTGAAGCAAGCACACTGCACCTCTTATTTGCAGATCTTTTTCTGAATAAGAGAGAGAACTAAGAAATATTTGTAAAAAGTACAACTTATATAACATTACAAACACAAATAACAAATAGTTTAAACTTGTGTTCTAATAATCCTAAGAGTTCCGTGTATCGGAACATGACTGGTGGGTAAAGAGAGTCAGAGTTTCAATCATGTCCCAGTTTAATCTGATCTTGCATGAATATAGCAGTTTGGGGTGTGGCCATGATGGTCAGATGGGGAAATAAAACCATTTGAAGGAACCCATTTGTATTTCTGATTTGGTTTAGCTCAGTCGACTGTGTACTCTCGAATAACCCCAAGTTACAGAATGCTCGGTAAACAAAAAAAAGGGATAAAAAAAAATACAGTCACCTTATTTAAATAGCTGTGCAGTGAAATACACATGCAGTTCAATGATGGCACGGGCCATAAGCATGCCATGTCCCGCTGAATAACCTGACTGGTTTTAAATGATGAAGGATCTACTTCATTCTCGCTAAGCTGATCTGCTTCTCAATTTTATTTGCTCCATGGCAGGCAAATACTGTGCGCCCATTTTGTTCTCTCGACACCAACAAATTGAGAGGCAAAATATATGAAATTGTGCTGATCTGACAGTGCGCGCCGTATTTCCACCAGTAAATGATGAGTCCGGGTTATAACATCAGCAGAGGTTCACGGTCCAATCGGGCTTTTTTTCCCTGCTAAGAGGAGATAAGAGCTGAAGAGATACATTCAAACACATTTACATTCGGGTGAAGCTAAAAAGCTTCTGGAGTTGAACTGAAAAAAAAAAAAAACACTTCTGCTCTCTTGAGTGGAGCCTGATGGGAAGCAACAGTACACCGTAACAACATTGCGCAATGCACAACAGCATGTCAAACATCAGGCTCCAAGGTGTGGATGTTAGCTGGGACACAGATTGACAATAAATAAGAATTGATCTTTAAAATGGCTAAATGAACAAATCTTTATCTTATGAATGCATGCGTATTACTCTGATTAAAAATCCATGGATGACAAATGAAGATTTCGCTTGTCAAAGCGATTCTTAACGTGCCGAGTGCAATGACGAAAGGACTTGCATCGTGTTCTTACAAATCTAGTGTGAAATCATGCCAATGATTTAGTGTTTATGATCATAATTATTTTCAACCAGATACAAAAGGAGTAGCTCAG